CCAAGCCTTGGTTTACATGTATGAACACAATGAACAGAACAGCTGACTTTAAGAAGAGCTTGCAGCTTGCAGCGTTTTCCCTTCTCTCCATCATGCAGAGTGCAGGTAAACATATTAAACCGTAAATCTCGCCTGCATCTGGGAGACTGTAAACCAAAACGTTTTGTATTTTTTTCTTCCCTTTTATTCGAAGCACTGTTTCTTTGTTCTCTTTTGCATCTTTTATTGTCATTCACACAGAACAAAAACCAAGGAAAAACAAAATATACAAATACATGTGCTGGTTTCTTGAATGCCTCCATACCGAGTGACTGCAAACGTGTATTTAGCGCCGTACGCGTGTCCCTCCCTCCGGAAAGCGAGCTGAGTTTAGAGCTGAGAGCAAAAAGCACATTGAAATCAGGAAGCGTTCCCTTCCGAAGGCAAGTACAGTATCAAAAATAGCAGATACACAGAGTTCTGCTGACCATCGTAACTGTATACGAGACTCTATACACTATGGCATAGCAAGAGATAAGCACTATGTTGGAACTGAAAACACAGCTACCCTCTAACCCCAATAAAAGGGGCAGGAGAACTCGAGTCTACAAGACATATCTCCATAGTACTCTATCAACTTCAACTAAATGGAAATGCAGAATGATATGTCTGCATCTATAGACCTCTCTCTCTCCATCTCTCCCTCTCTCTCTTTCTTTATTTATTATCAGAAAGTGCAATTCAAACACGTAAAGTTTCTAAGAATGTTTCGCTTTGGCCAGTTTTGCTCCAAACAATAACATATCCAACCAAACGTCATCATCAGTGGCTATAACGAAAGTTACAAAGGTGCTCTGGATTTCCTACAATGTCTGGTCAATGCATTCAGCCATCTTAGACCTACAGTACATGTGCAGTTAACATGGTTTGAAAGCCCTACTAGACCTGGGGAGGTCTGTTATTTAAGCGATTACCAATTAAATCAGTGGTTTTAATCCCAATCCTGTTAAGAGACATGGCCAAGTGCTGTGTTATTGTTAGTGAGTGTGGCTGCACACAGGCCTACATGTTAGCTTTTATCCACAGTAATATGAGAAATTCAATCTAAACAAGTAAAAATACTAGTGAAAAAAAATATTTTGGCATAAAAAAGTTAATCTAGCATCAAAATTCTAACTTTCCTAAGAACTGTATTTTAGCATGTAAGAATGTGTGGCTTTTCCCAATTTAGGTTAATTTATGTTAATAGAAGGAGCAACTTATTTTTAATGTGACTGAAATTTTGATTCTAATTCAATGTTCAGACGTAAAAATTACACGTTGATGTTGAAATTCTAAATTTGGACTATTAAAAATTAAATTGTTACATGTAAACATTTCTTTTTTACATGTAAAATTATTTTTTTATCCTCACTTATACAAACAGTGTTGAATTGTCATGAACATCCAGGCTGTGATCTTTCAGTCTGGGCTGTCAGTAGGAATCTCAGGAAATTACTGCAATGTTTTATCACAAACCATTTAGCCAATTAAATTCCTCCAAACATTATTACACAACCACCACTGGGAAAATGAATACAGATCCTATAGGGCTTTCCTTAAAAGTGAACAGATAGCACTTGGTCTTTCGTTTCTGAGCTTGTGACAGAACGGCTGGCCGTCCAGCACGGTTGGACCATGCGTCTCATGATTCCTCTTACTCTGAAGCATTTGGCCATCTTCATCACTAACCTCATCTTCGGAAAACGCAGAACAATTACACAGTCATCTATGCACATGCATGCACCACAGCATGCAAGCGCACAACCCACTCTCCAAAAGAACAAAAACAACAACAAACAAACAAAGAAAAAACATACAGGGTGAAATATGGCTATAGTTTAGGCACAAATACTTAAGAATGTCCTTTTTGTGAAAGTTCAATGCTTCTGATACACACACAAATAACGTCTAGGCAGACAATGAAAAGAAACAAACAAAAAAAATTAATCTCACAATACATTTAAAACGTCAACATTTTTAAATAGTATCTCTTTTAAGTATTTGTGACAATGCATGCTTGTAAGAGGAGGTGGCCTGGGTTTGAGTTAGTACAGTATTGACTCAGGTGGGTTTGTGAAGTACCATAGTTTTCTCCAGAGGGCTTGAAGCTCTGCTCTGTTCTGGGTCTGAAATGACAGTTTTTTTCAGACAGTGTGTATCACAGATGTATTTTTACTAGTTGCTTGCTTTACCAACTGACGTAAGCTGCAGTCATGCTAGCATCTTAACAGTAGCACTTACTCCAATGGGAATGGTAAGAGTGAAGGGCGTTGCATTGCAGGAAAAAATAACTTCTTTTCAACTTTGGTGACATTTTGGAGAAGTGAACTTTGACATGGACATTCTTCTCATTGACCAATAGCACAGCGACTTTGGCTGGACTTCATAGCAGCACTGCAGATCCAAAATTGAGGAAGCGATAATTTTAGCATTGTCTAGCTTCAAAATCACATTGTCTAGTTTCAAAATTACAATTAAATCTGCAGTTTTATGACAACCACTTTCATTAATTTTCTTCATATTTTCAGGTGGCTGAAAGAGATGGCATAACTTTACTTTCATGTCACCTCTGGTGAGTTAGCTAGCATGCTAACTGCATCAAAACAGAGGATTTTTATTCATAATTTTAGGTGACTGAAAAAAGATGGCATAACTATCTTTACTTTCATGTTTGTGTTGGGTTTGAGGAATTGTTCTTCCAGTCTTGCCTTGTTTACACCTGTTTTGCAAGAAGACGTGAACTGAGAATATCTAGTGTAACTGCAGCTTTAGTGAGTATTGATTTCCAGCTTCTTTTACTTTCTTCTAACTGCTGACTTTCAGGTTTACATGAGCACCAAGACTTTTCAAGTTCTTATACAAATCAGTCAGCAACTTCAAGATGATGATTGTGGGAATGAATGACATTACAGGTGGAAATTATTGTAAAGCTGTACAGTAGTTATGACAGGCCCAGTCAATCAGAGTCTCAAGCCCCACGCAGGACGAATTCACACACATACACACACACACACACGCAGGCATACACATAAGAGAGAAACCTTAATGCAAAACAGCGTTAGATTTTGCTCAAGATATCTAAACTGGAATGGAGATTTCTGCTCAATATTTCATCCAACAACAGACAGACTCTACACTGTGTGACTCAAATGTGACTCGTTGATCCTTACTGTTAAAAACAACAACAACAACAAGAACAACAACAACAGATCCATATACAGTGCAAGTAATACCAGTTTGGACATTTCATTCTGTGTTCACAGTGCCAGCAGCGTGGCTGAGATGGATTCATTTGTCCACTCATTCTCTTCAAGGAAAAGTTGTGATCTTGTGAAAATGCTGAAATGGTTGATGCTGGTTCTTGTAAACTGTACAAAGGTGACGAGAACGAATAAATGATACAAAACTGATAAATGATATGGGTTAAAAAAGGCAGAGAAAGGGCAGTCATAGTCGATAGATGTAGAGTGAGCTCTTATCCTACACATTTGAATGTGAGAAAAACAAAAGACTAACATGACTATGTTCGGGCGTTACTGCATAGCAATATGTGTCAACTGCTCAAGCATAATACTGATTTTAACATAAAATAGAAAAATGCACAAAAAAGATTATTTACTGAGTGGGTGCACTTTTCAACTCTGTGCGTTTTACAGTAATGATAAGGTCTTATTGTACATGTATATTGATGATATTCCTTGGGGTGTTATATTTTTTAGAAATAAAGGGGGACAAATTTGGGAACAAATCCATGAAATAAATGTGCATTTCTAAAATGTTCCGTCTACACCAACTTTTCTCCCGTCACCGAATTAATTGCAGTGATGTCTTCTTATCCAGATCATCACTATGATAATAATTCTAATTAGTTTACCCTTAAGCTTCACCAGCTCACCCCAGGGTCATTTTAATATATATATAGATATTTTTATTCTGTACTAACTACAGTATTATGCCATTATTTGCATTAAGGTTTGCTTATCTCTAATGATAATGATAATCTGTGGTTTCGTCACTTATTTTAGTACATATGCATATATGTATTTTTATATATATATTTATATATATATAGGTGATATCCAGGCTTCAGACAGAAGTAAGACATTGCCATGATTGAGAATGCACCACACATTATTCGGTAAATACTAGATCTACAAAACTATTTACAACACACATATAGTTTGTCTTTATATCACAGTCTATTGCATAATGGTGATAATCTTTAGTTTATAAATATTATAAATGTACACAGTCATTAAACGACATTTCTTTGTGTCCATCTCTGTCAGAAATTAGGAGTAGAAAATAACATCATCCAATAACATCCAACTGCAACCACACTTACTCTTTAAAAACAAAGAAAAGAAGTGAAATAAAAGGAAAAAAAGCAGCAAATGCAAGATTTATTCCCTTTGAACCCATAACACTGCCTCGGTTTTAACACTACACCAGTTACTGGACTTCAGAAAGTATTGCAGAGGGTAATTCCGCCTGTATTTTTACCCGCATTATTGCCAATATTGTGGTCCTGCGAACACTTCCCAAAAATGTATGTTCCACTCGTATTCTGGTGTTGTGTTTACGAATGTGCTTTTTTTCTTTAAGTGGTTTCAGTGGTTTCCAGTATTGTTTGCGTGTAGGTTTTCCACAGTGATGCCAAAAGCTGCTGAATGCTGATCTTGTTTTTGTCATCTTCTCTGAGTAAAAATAAATAAATAAATTGAAAAAGTCACTGTCAGGTTTCACGTTGCATTCCAGTTACAAAAAAAAGACAACAAAAATTTAAACCAGCCAAGAAAAAAAAAATGGAAATCCTCTTCGACATGTAAGTCATATATATGAGAAAGGAAGACTTGCATTTATACTACTGTTTCTGTCTTTTTCATATAGTCAATGCCAAGTATTCTAGTTGGATTTACACATATATATTTGTATAATATACATTCTTAAGTTGAAGGGGAAATGTCTAAAATATAATACAAGGGTAATCTGTACAGGATAATCTATGAGGTTATCTTTTAGAGAGTCGGAGAAAAACAAAAATACTTCAGTCTCTTTTTTCCCATTTTCTCCATAAAAATGAAGCAAAAATCATTTTTTAAAAAAATAAACAAGAAACAAAAGATAAATCAAAACAAAAAAAAAGAACGGGATCATAAATTCGATGCGAATCGCATCTTGTCTTGTTCGGTCTCTGTACTGCTCAAGACCGCTGATTCTCTTCTGGATCCTGTGGGATCCCTGTGCTGGATGCTAGAGGGTGCCGCGCGCACCGGCGGTAAAGCTCCCGATGACATCTGGCGGAAGAGAGCCACCCTCTGGGGGACGGTGGTGCGGATGCCGCTTTGTGGCGCGGCCTGTGCAGGCTGGGCTTGGGCCTGGGTTTGGGCTGGACCTGCAGGGGGCTGGATGGAGGCCAAGGATTCGCCGGAGGATGGGTGTGGCCGGACAGGTAGCGAAGTTTCATGGGGTAGAGAAGGCTGGGAGGCTGAAAGGTGGCGAATGTCTCGGCTAAGGCTTCCTGACTGGAGCGCCTGTGTGCTCTTGTGGACTTCGCTTCTTTGGGGAGAAGCCTGTTGAGCCTGAGGCTGCTGGGACGGCTGCTGCTGTTGTTGTTGCTGTTGTTGCTGCGTTGTTATGGACTGCTGGGGAATGGGCGGCTGTACCAGGGAGAGCTGTGAGGCCGTGGGTGAGCCGTACTGGAACGTTCGGCCAGCCAAAGGCGTCTGGACGGGAGGGCTGCAGACGGCTGCAGTAAACGAGCATGGCGACATGATGCCGCTCGGCTGCTGCAAGGGTGTAGGTGGATTTGGTGAAGAAGTGGCCAGGTTTCCAGGTGGAACGCTAGACACAGAGAAAGCAACGCCCTGAGCTATGCGGGCAGCCGGGGTTATGGATGCAGCGGTGCTGTAGGTCATGGCTTGCTGAAGTTGGCTGTTAGCAATAGGAAATGGTGGCTGAGCAGGAGAGTTAATGATGGAGTTTCCAGACATCGGTGTCGAGTTGGCACCCGTTACCGACTGCTTCCTGTCCACCATCATCACCATCTCCCGGTCCTGCCGGATGATCTGCTTCAGCAGCTCGTTCTCTTGTGTATTGAACACGCCCGCATTCAGATCCTTCTGAAACTTCTGCAGCAAGAGCGAGTTCTTCTTCCCTGTGAAGGAGCGAATCCCAAAAGAGAAACAAAACTTCAGCTGACGTCACAGTAAACACCATCAAAAAGGGTTCTGAAACATTACAGGTTGTGAAGTAATGGGAGAACAATGGAGACAGAATGGAGACATAAAAATCGACAGGAAGGGGAGGCTAGTAACTAGCAAAAACGTGCTAAAGCAGGATCTAAAAATACATATCACACTTTTCAAAGTTACTACACAGTGTCACGATGAAAATGAGTCACATATAAGACATGTCTATGAAGGACTAAGCACTAACACTTCATAAAGAACACAGCACAACATGTAGAACTATGTACTAACTGATCTATATTTAACATGGGGCAAGTTCAGTTGTATAATGATATACTAAATTGATTGAACGTTTGGTCTTTTTCCCCTTTCCTTGGTTAACTGACTTGGCTGGCAGTGACTGCGTGATTTACACTGACTTGGTAATCTCTAGTACTTATCACTGGCTAAATATACTTTATAGATCCAAGAGTAGTCAAGGTAGCCTGTTTTAAGGCCATTAGGATTGGACAATTGTTGCAAATGACAAGCAGTCATTAAAAGAACACTTTACTACAGAAGAGAGATTAAACACAATCGAACCCTTAAACACGCCAACAAAAGGTATAGACTATAAGGTATTTTTCGAACATCGTTCTTAGAAGACAAGACAATGACGGACCGAATGATTCCATCAATGTGAGGTGAAATTACTTTTGCCCTGTCAGGAGACACTGACCCTTCCTCAGGTCAGACGCTCTAGAGGGGTATAGTCAGGGACAGACTTATTCTGTCTGCTGCAGTTGGAATCAACCACTGGGGAAATCAGTTCAGTGACCAGCATCAATCAGCTAATTCTCATAAGGAGAGGTAGCAGGCCTGATTGGCAATGTGCAGTTATTTGACAGCGTTTTTTTTTTTTTTAATGTGTGATTCGATTGCAGTGTGTTACACTGATGTACTTTTGTTTCAAATTTAGGGCCAAGAGGTGTTGATCTTAGGACAACTTGTTTTAGGAACTGATTGGTTCACTGCTTGCTGGCTTGCCTCATTAACCCTTTATTGAACTCTAGATTATTGTTAAAATAAGTGTTATGTTTAGGTTTAGGTCAAAGGTAGTTTAATTTAAAAACTATTTAGCTGAATATCAGTTAACCCCATAACCTGCAGTCTTATTCTTTCTTGGTTGTGTCTTTTGTATTATTAATTAAAACTGTTGTTGTAGCACATGTCCAGCAGTGCTGACGAGGGACTTTTTCGTTCATTCATGGACAGGATTTTTCATAACTGTGATTGTGTGTAGCCTAAATGACAGCTGCTCCGTTTTGTCTGCCTTATTAGGGTAAGATCTACACATGGAGTAAAACGTCCTCAGTATGGCTGGGCCAAAAATCAACCTAAGGAAACTGATTTGACTGCAAGGTAATGACGTTTCTCATTCACTTCCACTTATATTCCCACAGAGCAAGTGATTTTCGCTGGTACTGTCCCAAATTAGCATTTTACCTGCCCCGGGCAATCGGGCCATCATTAATGTTGAACCCTACCTGGACTTTACCACATTCTGAATGGAGATTTTTCATTAAAAGAAAAAAAAAAGTGTAGTACAGGACTAGACTTAATCCCTGTCAAGGAAACTGATCTTCAGAGTCTAAGACAGGGATGCCCAACTCCAATCCTGGAGATCTACTGCTCTGCACAGATTAGCTCAAACACAGTTGGCTGTAATATTCAGGTGATCCTGAAGTCCTGAATCAGGGGTATCAGATTTGGGCTGAAACCAAACTCTGCCGGACAGTAGATCTGCAGGGCTGCAACCAAAACTGTGTACTACCACACTAAATAATGCCACAAATAGTACCTCAGCATAATAGTACCTTCATTTGTACAGTATTTACTACACATATAGTGTAGTCTAGTATGTGTTTGTGGACACAGATCAGGACTAGAGTTGGGCACGTCTGGCATAAGAGTTTATTACCTGTTGACTGATTAATTACTTGATTTAATACAATCGCACAGTGGCTTATTTTACTTGCCTAACATCTCTGTGAGCCCAGCAAAGTGTAAAAAGTGGACAGACTTTTGAGATTCAGAGCCAATAAGAAGAGCTCGAGTGAAAGATGTTGCGATGTGTCTTGTCGTAACTTTTTGAACACAATTCTAACCTATGCACCTACCCACAGGGACCGAGCTTTATTTATTGAGATTAGTCCTCCAGGCTTTGTTGGACTGTGGAACATTTGTTTGCAGCAGCAGAGCAGAATTCTTTAGTCATAAGAATAACTGAGTGAGGTTTCGGGGCACTGAAGGCATTAAGAAATTAGCTATCAATCTCTGAGCTGTAGCCTTGAGAAGGAACAGGGAGGTGTTTTCTCTCCCTCCACTGCTGTTTATAGCTTTGCACTCTGTAGCCTTCGCTATTTAGCTCAGTAGGGATGCTGGATATGCAGTAACAAGCTTTACTGCAAAAAGTTATACATCTTGGCCAGTGAAATCATCTTAAATGTAGGCAAAATAAAAAATGTACAAATTGGTTGAACAATGTATTTCAAAAACAATCTTATAACATGGAATATTAAACATTTTGCCTTCATTTAAGATCATTTGCCAGTATATCACTCATCTCTTTCAAGACAGCCATCACTATTATTTAGATGTTCGGGTAGAGCAGAGCTGCTCTTCAATCTAGATAAATCCCAGTGCTGAGAGCAATGACACTGCTATTAGGGATTCTTTAATGTAAGCAGCCAATACAGCATTCATACCCCACTGCAACCAAGCCTGGGTTAATATAGATTTGGAAATTGGCAAGAATGTCAAAGACAATTAAAAAACAGATTTAATCGGGAAATTAATTTGTCACATTCTAGTATGTTACTAGGAGCAGGTACTAGATTGCGTATGGAAAAGGATTTGTATTTTCAGTTTTGGGTTTGAGAATGAAAAACTGTTGATATTCTGTATCAAAAATGTAAAAGAATGCTGTTCTGAAATCTCATATCTCATATCAAAAATGTCAAAAATGCAATTGCAAACACGATGAATAGTCTGTATCAAAAATGTCAACAATGGAGTTTAAAAAGCTATTAATATCTCATATGAAATATGTCAAAATTCAGCTACAGAAGCTATCGATATACCAGATGTCAAAAATGCAAAAATGATCAAAATAGCATATCAGAAAGTTTTTAAAATGTAGTTCCTATAGTTTGTAAATTCCTTATCAAAAATATTTAAAAAGTAATTCCTGAAGTTATTAACATAGTCAAAAAATTTCAAAATGAAGTTGCAAAGGTTATCAGTAATCTGTACCAAATATATCAAAAATTCTGTTCTAAAAGTTCAATATCCCACATGTCAAAATGCAGCTACAAAAGCCATCAATATCCCATATCAAAGATGTCAAAAATGCAGTTGCAAAAGTTATCAAAATACCTTATCAAAAATGTAAATATGCAGTTCCTACAATTATTAATATCCTGTAACAAAAGTATCAGTATTGCAGTCTGAAAAGCTATTAATACCCCATATCAAAAATGTCATAACGCAGCTACAAAAGCTATCGATATCCTTTAACCCTGAAATAGAATCCTGCATTCTGTCAGCTGTTTGTCAGAGAAGACGTAGAGGGCCGTATACTGTGTCAATAGAGAAAGCGCTTCAGGCGCCAAACGGCAGCAGGCTGACAGAAACGTTTATCCAGCGGGACACAAATTACCATGAACAGCTTCTCAAGGAGGACACGACCGTCCCTGGGGACATGAGGAGTTCTTGGAAGCCAGACGTGTCCTTACATACCCAAACACACACACACACACCTTGTCGGTTCTCTGTATCGATCAGCGCTGCGCAATGAACACGACTGGCTGAACTCTGTTAGGTGGCAGTCAGGCTTGATTTCCGCTTTGGCAGGTGAGAGAATGGCAATTGATTACACCCTGACTTTTTTCACTCCAGCATTTCACTCATTCATTCCGGCCTGGCAGCAGCCATGATGTGTGATTCATTATTGTTATACTGCAGGATGGACTGGGTCAAAATATCGACAACATCTAGATGCTTCTCCAAAACACACTGACTACTTCCTACTGCTACAAGAACGTCCACAGTGTGTGAATAGACTTACATGATGCTTATAAAAATGTGTGGAGGGACGGTGAACTCTGTGGATAAGGAGTTCAACAGAAACATGTTATTGAGGTGGTTAGTGTATTTGGGGAACAGGAGGGTTTGGGGTGTGGGCAGGTAAAAGCTGGGAATTCTCTAGTCCTTGTAAATCAGCATCTCTCCAGTCTCATGTAATCATTATACCTGGTTTAATTTCTGCTCTTATGTATTTTCAGCCTTTTATACTTTACCCAAAATGAATTTGCAGGTTTTGTTGAACACTCTTAGCTTTCATTCCACTAACCACGCTAAAGTGAGCTTATAGGACCAAGTTACAACAAACCAAGCATACATACATACATGCATACATACATACATACTGGAACATTGGACATTTTGAACATTGGTGTAGAACCCACAACAATTCAAGAACCTTTAGATTATGATATCATTCTAAAGGCCATGGCACACGGACAGCGTTCTCCAACAAGCATCAGTAAACACAAATGTTGGGTTGGCCCTAGAATATTCTTCCAATTCACACTGTTCTAGAACGTTCTTCTCATTCAAACTGTTCTAGAATTTTATCTCTCATTGACACTGTTCCAGAATCCTTTCTCCCATTCACACTGTTCTAGAACGTTCTTCATTCAAACGGTTCTAGAATTTTATCTCTCATTCACACTGTTCTAGAATGCTGTCTCCTGATCACAGTGTTCCAGAATGCTTTCTCCCATTCACACTGTTCTAGAATGTTCTTCTCTTTACACACCATTCTAGAATCTTCCATTCACACTCTTCTCAAATTTTCTCCCTTTTATGTTTTCTCTATGCACATGGTTCTAAAATGTCGTCTAGAATGGTCATCCTATTTACA